TTCCTGTGGAGAAAAGTGCACTGTAACTCCACTGTCATTTGTCATATTTATCTCATGATTTTTTATGAAGCATTTAGTTAGCATCCCTGGTGTGACCATCTTTATTTTTTGTAAAAAATAAAAAAAGCTAGAATGGTTTTAATAAATTGATTAATTTTAATTTAGTGAATATGTCATGATTGTCAACAACATGTGGTTGGATACATTTCATCAGACATTTTATAGAATGCTTTTTTCGTAATGTTTGTCACTGCTGTAACTTTTCTAATTGGTAACACTGCTGAAGAAGATCATTGTGTTTGTCACTGGTGACAATCAACACAAAAAATGTGCTGAGATATGTAGTGATTTAAAAGATATATATATATATATATATATATATATATATATATATATATATATATATATATATATATAATTTAAAAGATTGCATAATTACTCATTGATATTTTTAAAATATTTACATTTTTATAAATGTGTGGTTGCAGAAATAAACTAACATCGTGAAAAAGCACTTTTAACAAACCTGATTTAACTAAATCTCCTTATTTGTTGCAATATCATATTTTTTTCTGTAACTGACTACGTGCTGGAAAAAAAAGAAATAATATATAATATAAAACATTTAACATTGCCATAAAGGTAGGTAACGCCGGTAACCAAAATTGTATTTAAATAAATGTATAACAGTTATAAAAAAAATAGGTTGCCATTTATATTTTCATAAGGTCAAAAGGCATTTGATTAATGTGGTTTAAGTTTAAATGTTAAAAAAGGATTTTAGACATTTTAACAAACAAAAAGTGCACGTTTCAAAAAATAAAAAAAGAAGTCACAGTTTCCTGTTTCACTCACCTTCATCAACTTGTTATAAACTGTAGATCTGCGTTAAGACTAGTTGATAGAGTTATAATCCTCTGTTTTTGAAGAAGCTACACCTAAACTCCTGGTTTGCTTTTATAAAGTTGTTATGAACTATTGTGAGGTTCCATTTTGAAAACTAACGGATCGACTCGACGACACAACTTTGCTTTCACTTTGTATTTGTGACGTCGGGAGGGTGACGTCACATTAAACACAGAGGTTGAGCACAGTGAAGTAAAGTTAGGCATTCACCTTTGTTTAAGAATTAAAAACATCAAATTAATCAAACATAGTATATTGATCAGCGCTTGAAACATCCAAGGTTTCTCAAAACGTTTGAGAAAATCACAATAGTTCGCCGCTAGAGGGCGTTGAAGCTTAGGCATTTCCTGTAATCAAACACACACACAAATGGGATCAAACTCTAATCGTCGTAAAATTATACAAATACAGATTAAATGAAATATATTTGATTATAAAGAGACTGAAGTAATCTACAGATTAAATTTTACATTTTGATCATTTTGGTTGTCCCTCGCTTGACGATTTATTTGGAGGGTGGAAGCATCTAAAATATTTAAAAAAAAAAACTTTGGTGTTGAATGTAGGCCTGCCAGTCGTACTTCTAATAAATGTCCACCAGGTGGGGCCACAATCTCTTCTAAAACAGATCTTACCGTAAAAAACGTACATTTAACGTAACATTTTTAAATAATATTATAATCAGCCTGTTACCCGATATAGGATACAAGATTTGAAAAACCTACGTCGTGACTATTAACCCTTTCAAAAAAGCTTTTGGTAGAGAAAACTCTCTTTCTTTCTCTCTGTGAGTGTATGTGTGTGTCTTTATTTTTATCTCTCTCTCTCTACTCTCTACTCAGAGTATCGATTTCTTGGCGCGCAACAGAGCATCTCTTACCATAATCTTTGATGGACTTCACAATATACCAATTCAATTTATCAATTTTCTAATAAGCTAGAGTGTGACAGGTGTTTAATTCAGCATTCGGTCCTAAGAGACATTTCTTTTATTGACAAAAGTATAATTATTGTACATATTGTAGAAAGATTGGTTAAAATAGACACAAAAATGATCTTAGATCCTTATTTGAATACCATAATTTATTTCATTTTAAAATACGCTGTATATTGAGATGCGTGGAATCAACATTTGTGCATTTCACGATGAAAAAAAAAATCAATTTTAAGTTTTTCTTCATATCAAATTTTGTCCTCTTACAGATCTTAAAACTAGACAAATTGTTTAAACTTATAATGCCATGTTCCGTTAATAAAAAAAATATAAAACATTTACTCAACTTCACAAGGCTAAAAGTGCCCGTAGTTGAAGAAAAGTGCCCTTAGTTGAATTACCCATTAAACCAAAAAAATCAATGAGGAACATTGAATTAATAAAATCGGAGAACTTGTTTAATGACCATGAAGAGACAGTGAATTCATCCTTTTGGTCTCAAGAGTTTTGAAAACATAATATCTGATCGCAGATCTTTTTGGCCAACTAAATGTTATCTTTAAAGTAAAATATTGTAAAAGTATGCTGTTAATTTTGCTTTTCTCTTTTATGTTTTTTAAGAAAGAAACAGCAAAAATGCTTAAAATTGTAATATATTACTTTTTCCCCCAACACTGACTGCAGATCATGTTTACTTCACAACTGGGCAAATGCTTCAGTTTTGATAGTTGTATTGAGATTGAATACTGAATATCAGATTTGATCTACTAATGAAAATTCACACAGGATGCTGTGAGCCTGTTTCTGTAATACATTAGATTGTTTTTTCCTCTGTCACATTAAGAGTCATGAGAAAGCAGGAATGGGCAAAAATACATTCAAATTTATATTAAAATAAAATACTAAATACTTCAGCTTTAAGTGCATCAAAATAAACTACAAAATACAGCAGCCACATCTATGCATCAAAATAACAATACTGTATTTTTTTTTTTTTAAAACATCACAAATGTTTTTAAAAGGGAGCGCAAAAATCTAATCTCAAATCTTATCCATCAACAGGGCTATTTGATTAATCCCTTCACCACTCAAATGACTGAATGTAAAGGATTTTCTCTCCTCACACAAAAATGTGTGCATGTGGATGGGTAAAAAGCAAATGACCAATTTTGAGTATGAACATGAGCAGACCTTCATAAGGAAACAGCAAAAACTTGTGTTTCTCTTTGATTTTAGTATAAATTTAGTCCACATTTCAAACAGAAAATCCTGTCTTGAAGATGATCTCCTACAGTTTAAACCATTTACTGCAGATGATGAGTGGAAACAGTGCAATATCTGTTGATTGTGTTTCCACTCATTGTGTGGCCAGTAAAATTTCCATCATCTCTGTGCAATGATCATTCAACGTCTAAACAGTCTTATATTATAAACGCTGAAATATGAAGAGTTCATTTTAACATCTTGATCAGAATTTTTCTGAAATATAACTTGTTTTGCAAATAAACTCTTCAACACTCAAAGTAAAAACACAATTTCCTGAAAACAAACAAAACCTCCAAAGTCAGTCATTTCCATAAATCAGATTTTTTCTAATTAAACTCTTCAATTAACAACATAAAACACGATATCTCACAATTGTGAAAAACTGAGTTATCTTTTTGCAAATAAACTCTTCATATGTGTCCTGCTGCTGCTGTATAACCCGGGCCAGGAGTTTTTGATCAATCTCTCTTTAAACTGGAGTATTATTAAATATTTGTGTTACATTTATTGTGCCAGTTTCTTTAGGCGGACATCCTTCTTCTTCATGACCTCTACAGTGCAGCAGAGCATCAACTACTGCAGTCTGGGTCAGCTAATGAAGTATTGTAGGAATCGCCCGTCTGACATTTTAATGCTGTTCTTCTGATTTTCTTGGCATCTAAATCAGCGATTCATTACAAAGCTGCTATTATTTCTACAGTATACGCATTCCCCCAAGATGATTCCAGTTCTTCTTTAACTGGAGGAGTCTCAGTTTACCCTCTTAAAAACAGCATTACACCATCTTTAGCTGTTTATTATTTCTAAAGTTCCTCTGCATTTCCACTTCCAGCACTGAGACTGAGGATGATCTGAAGCTCCTCATCCTGTTCTTCAGGACTGACATTATATTCCATCTCAATTCTGAAGATGCTGATGCTGAGTTAAACACTATACCGCCATTACATATTACTGCTCTTAGCACTGCACAGTGAACAATTTTCAGTGCTTGTTGACTTGCTCCTGAATCTAAGATAGAGCCCATCTTTGAATTTGTAAATGCACAAATCACTTTTGCACCAAATATTACATTAATGTGTGGCACAAAATAGAAAGAGAGAGAGCAAAACAGACATTTGCCAGTGAAAAATGAGCTTAAGACTTGTAGCAGCAGATTCAAGCTGTTGGAGTAATGTAGTTGTGTTGGCGCTAGGAAAGTTTGGTAGCTTGGTAGTTTTGCAGCAGAAACCCCTTCATGTATTTAGTCAAAACACTGAAAATATCTATTTGTACCCACATGGAAAGAAACTATATGAGGATACATGTGCATATATGAAACCTATATGCAGTGTATATGCACATATATAATAATTTAAGTGCAAATATAATTCAATTTATAATAATTATGTGTATATATGCCACATATAGACAATATTGAGGTGCATATATGTGCACATACAGGCCAAATAGGTCTCCCGTGTTGCTTCTTCATATCCACATATAAGCCCTTTATGTTCATACATGATATGTCTCCTATATAGCTCAAATCTCACTTTGGCAACTGTCATACATGATGCCTTGACTGTTATATTTTTTATTATCAAGGCAATAACTAAGAACTAACTTAAAAAAGTGCAAAAAACGTATCTATGTGCCACTTAAATTTGGTATCTCTTGTAATTGGCATGTCATGGATTAAGTAAGAGGAGATGGAAAGCATACACGTTTCCTGAAACATTTACAAGGTCAAGTCTTATATGAAGATAGTGAAAAAGAAAGATATATAACACAATGGTTTGTCTTTGTTTTCTTTTTTATTTCTTTTTGATTATTCTTTTATTCTTGTTCTTGTACTATATTTATTTCTTGTACTATTTGATTAAGTAAATAAAAATAAAAATTTATTTTAAATCATGTTGTCTAGCAGCTGTATTTTAATAATTTTACCAACATATAGGTGAATATGTACCCATGTATGTGCATATATGTACATATAATATAGGAAAACAGACAATTTTATATATGTCACATATATCAGAAACCTATATCAAAACCTATATGAAAACATATATGTTTATATAGGTTCTTTCCACGTGGGTAACCGTCAGTAAAAGCTGATCTGATCAGCTCATCTTTACTAAATATTTCAGTCTCAACTCCAAATCTTTGGATATAGTTCTCTGTAAATTTTGAACAAGTCTTCAACAGTGACTGCTCTGAGTTTGCTTCAGCTCTTTCAGAAATGATTGTCATTGAGTAAAGTTGAGTGAGAACATTAATAGATGTGCGTGTTCAATCATTTTTGCAGAATTACTGATCTTTACTTTTATAATATTGTAGAGAATGAAATGCTCAGTGAAATGGTTTGCTTCTCTTTGTCGACCTCTGCTGAAGGACACATTTCTGTTGCATCTCTTCTGTAGTTTAAATCTGGACTTTCACCATGTAAACCTTGTAAAACTAAGTTTATACTAAAAACAAAGAGTAATTTTACCAAATAAATCAGATTTTTCCAACATAACAGAGCTGTCTGTACTGCACAACACATTTTATATTTACATATTTACAGTTATTTATCCAAGGCTTGCAGATAAAAACAAATGTGTTTTAGTGTTGTCATATTCAAATCCTCGTTCTAGTGTACACTATAATCAATATCAGAAGAAAATAATGGAGTCATTTATATTTTCCTGATCATTACATATAAAAACAAACCAGTGAGGTCTGTGTGTCTTCAGTGTGTGTTGATTGTGTCTGTGACGTTTCTTCTTATTCACCATCAGCAGATCCTGAGTAAACTAAACAGAGGATCCTGCAATAAAACGCACACACGCACACACACAGTCATATATGATTCAAATCACATCAGCAGATCCATTTCAGAAAAACTCAAGCAGATAAATAAGGAATTAAAAACTCAACAGTTTAAAGCACAGACTACAGTGAAGCTGAATTATTATCAGATATTCTACATTTACACACATGAGGCCTGTTACTGAACTCAAGTCAACATTTCAGCTTAAAAACATACTCACAAATGTATAATGTTTCCAGTTTATTATGTGGGTCGTCTTTCAAATCAGAGAACAGCTTCACTGTAAATTTTGATAGTTTATTCCTAGACAGATTCAGATCTCTCAGGTGTTTAGGGTTTAATCTCAGAGCTGAAGCCAAAGCAGCACAACCTTCATCTGTGAGAGCACAATCACTCAACCTGTAGAGAACAACGACACACTCTTCACTCTCTCACATCACACCAGTTTAACACTGAATCCATTATTAAAGTACAAACTAAAGGCATAAATAAATATATGTGTTGAATTATTCAATTAAGGTCTGAAATGTCACAAAACACAAAATATGATCATAAAACATCAAACATCTGATTCAGGCTGAATAAATATCTGTTCATATCTGTGCTGTGTAATCTTTTGTTTCCTCTCTTAGGCAAAATCTTTTATAATTAATGTCTCTGTTTACAGCACTGATTAACCGAACTGTTATTTACACTATAGGTTCAAAGGTTGAGATCATTATGATGTTTAGATGCTTTTGAAGTTTCATTTATTCATCATTATTACTATATATTTTTATTTTTAAACCATAGTTTTCATATCATTGTAATATGCTGATTTGCTGCTCGATAAACATTTATTTTGATCAATGCTTTGCTCTTTCATATTTAAATCACCTTTCAAAAGTGCCATTAAAGATGTAAATAATATTTTGATTCATTAAAGACACAATAAATGGATCAGAAACTACTGTAAAAATATTGCGTGTTGAAAAGATTTAGAAATTCATCAAAGGATCCTGAAAGTGAAATATATTGCAGTTTCCACTTAAATATTAGGCAGAATAAAATGATTCAAATGTTTTCAACAATCAACTCTCAGATGATCAAAATAATATGAATAATTCTTTATAAAACAAGTAAACAACTTTAGTCTGATGATGTTAGTGATGATAAAACACAAATCATTTGTCACTTTAATTATTGCAGTCAGCCAATGGCGCTTGACTAAAAGAGCTTTCAGTCTCTGAGATGTGAAACACAAAAGGCCTGTCTGATACTGAAGAGATTACAATCAAATCAAACCGGCTGCAATGTTGATTTGTCAGTCTTGTCTACTGTAAATGTCTAGATGAGAGCTCAGTGCTGCTGTGTGTTCAGCTCTATCAGCACAATAACACTGAGCTCATGGTGATTGTGTTTCTCCATCAGAAACAATAATGGATATCAGTCAAATCAGCCTGTCTGAGTCACAATCTGGACATCAACACCTCCTGTATCCTACTGTACATTTACTGAATTATTCCTGCACTTCAGTCACAGACTGTTGGATAAAATGCCCAAAGATGAATTTAAACACTCTTATGATTAAAATAAACTGACCATCCCATTCCTCCATCATCAATTTATGTTTATCATTGCTTATTTCGATAAAACAGACAAAAATAAAATAAATGTTAAAGTAATGAAGATCAGAGAAGCTGCAGAAAGAGACTCAACACTTCACAGATACTTTACACTGTTTCACATGTGAGAGTCAAATATGATCTTACCCCAGTCTCTCCAGTTTACAGTGAGGATCCTCCAGTACAGCAGAGAGAAGAGTCACTGAATCTCCTAGTTTATTCTCAGACAGATTCAGATCTCTCAGGTGTTCAGGGTTTGATCTCAGAGCTGAAGCCAAAGCAGCACAACCTTCATCTGTGAGACCACAATTACTCAACCTGTAGAGAACAATGACACTCTTCACTCTCTCACATCACACCAGTTTAACACTGAATCCATAATTAAACTACAAACTAAAAGCACAAATAAACTTATCTGATGGATCATTAATTAGTCTGAGGTCTAAAATCTGAATCAAAACATGATCATAAATAGAAAGTTTTTTTTCAAGCAGGATAAACAAAATCATTGAAATAATGACACTGTTCTCTGTTATCATTGCTGAAATTTGCTGTGCTTTTTATATAAGTACAAATATGTAAACAACCAGTAAAAGCTATGGGATATTTCAAGTTTTTAATTACCCCAAACAAAATAATCAAAAAAAAAACTATATTGTGTAATATTATTGCATATGAAACATTTATTACTATTATTATTGTCATCTATTTACTTTGTGTATGAATATATTTTTATTCATGAAGACACATTAATTGATTAAAACCACCTGTAAAATATGGATTTTCATTTACATCTTATTTTTAATTTCAAATAAATCCCTCAAATTACTTGATTCTATGCAATCAGCAAATTGCAAAAGAAAGTCATGCAAACATTCCTTCTACTTTGTTTTATAAAATGTCCAATCAAGAACAAAAACAATAAATATCTACTTTATATTGTGTTTCACATGTGAGAGTCAAATATGATCTTACCACAGTGTCTTCAGTTTATAGTGAGGATCCTCCAGTACAGCAGAGAGAAGAGTCACTGAATCTCCTAGTTTATTCCCAGACACATTCAGATATCTCAGGTGTTCACGGTTTGATCTGAGAGCTGAATCCAAAGCAGCACAACCTTCATCTGTGAGACCACAATTACTCAACCTGTAGAGAACAATGACACACTCTTCACTCTCTCACATCACATCAGTTTAACAGAGAATCCGTTTTTAAAGTACAAACTAACAACACAAATCAACATGTTTGATAAACTAAAATTTCACAGATGACAAAACATGATTAGAACACATCTGTTAATAACTTTGATATGGTGTCTACGTTATTGCATCTTTTTCTACAATATGTTTATATTGTGTATATACTTTTCTCTCTCTCTCTCTCTCTCTCTGTTCTTTATTATATGTATATTTGATATTTTGGTATTTATGTTACGAAGTGATTAGTGTAAATGCGGAAGTCTTTTATTTATATTAATTACCGTTACGGATATAAACAGACACAGAAAGATCGCACATGATCACGGCGTCCCAGCTGTGCGGTCTGCTATGGACTAAAGGTTTAGCTTCTGGTTTGATTGGAGAACAAGGTACTGACACTTTATGTTTAATGTGTTTGTTTGTTTGTATTGAGTCTGTTTATGAAGCTTAAGTGATGTTTGTTTTGTATATGGCTTTCATGTTTGGTTTCATTTTCCTTTGTATACAAGCTCTTACGGTGTTTGCCGTACGGTGCAAGGTGTCTGGATTACGGTGCAAGGTGTACGGTGTTTGGCCTACGGTATAAGGTGTTTGATGTAGACGACGGCGTCAGTGAAATGAATGCTGCACTGAAATAAATCATGGGAAAACACCAGTGAAAGAGTCAATCCTTTATTGAACCAGGGAGCTACAACATCAATCTTTCAAGCAGGAGAAACAGCTATTCATTGTAAATAATAAGATGACTATTTATTTGTGTGTGTGCAGTGCATGAACTAAACTTATTTGTCAATTGTCTCCAATTATTTAAATGATTTCCCTCATGACACTGTTCTCACTGTTCACATTGCTGAAATGTGCTGTGCTGTTTATTTCAGTAGTAATATGTACATGATTTGTGAAAACTTTGGGATAATTAGGATTTTTATGCTTTTGAAACTGCTGCCTCCACGACCCGGATAAGAAACAGATAAAAGATGGATGAATGGATGTATATAGTTTACACTGTTTCACATGTGAGAGTCAAATATGATCTTACCAAAGTGTCTTCAGTTTACAGCGAGGATCCTCCAGTACAGCAGAGAGAAGAGTCACTGAATCTCCTAGATTATTCCCAGACAAATCCAGATCTCTCAGATGTTCAAGGTTTGATCTCAGAGCTGAAGCCAAAGCAGCACAACCTTCATCTGTGAGACCACAATCAATCAACCTGTAGAGAACAATGACACACTCTTCACTCTCTCACATCACATCAGTTTAGTGAATCTATTATTAAAGTTTGTGAACATATTTGATGGATCCTTAGTCTGATGTCTAAAATGTCACAGAAAACAAAACATGATCATAAATAGAAAGTTTATTCAAGCAGGATAAACATCTATTCAGTGTTAATAATGAGATAATAGCAAAATCATTGAAAAAATGATTATGTTCACACCGTTAACTTTGCTGAAATGAGCTGTGCTGTTTATACCAGTAGAATCATGTACACAATTAGTAAAAAACTTGGGATAATGATTTTAATGTTTTTAAGGCTCAATAAGGAAGTGCTATCTCATTTAAACAAAAACAAAAACTTTAATATTGTGAAATATTATTGCAATTTAAACAATTATTGCTATTATTATTGTCATGTTTTACTTAAAAAAAAGAATATATACATATATATATATATATACATATATATATATATATATATATATATATATATATATATATAAAATATATATTAAATATATATTATATATTATTATATATATATAATTCATGAAGACACATTAATTGATTAAGCCCCACTGTAAAATATATATTTTACAAAACAATTGCTTTCAACAATGACATTAAACTTTTTTAAATGTAAGATTGAAAAATCTTGATGCTAAACTCCTCACTGAGAGTAAATGTACTGTACTATTGATTGAAAGAGCTGAGTTTCATATGAGTTAAAAGAAAAATTCTAATTTTTTATTAAATGCAATCAGCAAATTGCAAAAGAAAGTCAAACAAACAATAAATCTACATTTACTTTTACATTTACTTTACACTGAGTTTCATGTGTGAGTCAAATATGATCTCACCCCAGTTTCTCCAGTTTACAGTGAGGATCCTCCAGTACAGCAGAGAGAAGAGTCATTGAATCTCCTAGATTATTCACAGACAGATACAGATCTCTCAGGTGTTCAGGGTTTGATCTCAGAGCTGAAGCCAAAGCAGCAAAACCTTCATCTGTGAGACCACAATATCTCAACCTGTAGAGAACAATGACACACTCTTCACTCTCTCACATCACAGCAGTTCAGTAAATCTATTATTAAAGTGTAAGCACAAACTAAAGCATGAATGAATGTACCTGATGGATCATTAGTCTGATATCTAAAATGTCACAGAGAACAAAACATGATCATAAATAGAAAGTTTTATTCAAGCAGCATAAGTGAAGTTTTTAAACTAATTTCGAGAGGAGCACGTGATATGATTGACTGCAGCTGGCCGCCTATCTACACTCATTAGTTAGCCAAATTAGATCTATCCTAACTCACTATAAATAGCCTAGCTAGATATTACTCTCTTATCTTCGTTTTCCGAAGAAACCCCCCATCCACCCCCTTTCTCCTCCTTTCCTCCTTAAAAAAGGGGAGCTCTCGAGAACCACATCCTCACATGCTCTATGGACCTGGCGGGAGCCCTGGGCTCAACTATCTCCGAGCTCAGGGTTCTTTCCCGGGACAGCATGCCAAACCTGCTTACAGTTGTCAAGCAATATCTAAGTGTGAACTCTTGAAACATCTATTTAGTGTAAATAATAAGACAATAGCAAAATCACTGAAATAATGACTCTGTTCACACTGTTAACATTGCTGTGCTGTTTATATCAGTAGAAATATGAACACGATCAGAGAAAACCTGGTTTTACAAATAAATGAATAAATAAATCAACACATAAACAAAATGATAAACAAAACTTCAATATTATGAAATATTTTTGCAATTTAAACATATTATTATTATTTACTTTATTTTCTTTTTAAAACATTTTCATTCATGAAGACACATCAAGTTGATTAAACCTAACTGTAATACACACACACACACAGAGAGAGAGAGAGAGAGAACAATAACAAATATTGGCTCGTACTGTAGACATACAAAATACAATATAAAGGAAAACAAAAAAGAAAAGAGACAAAACAAACAAACAAAAACACATCATATTCACCAAACATATAATCAAATCTAGAGAGGGTATATAGCTTAAACCTCAGAGGAGTCACTGAATTGCTCTTGAGATATAGATTTATAAAATAAATCAAGAAATTGACCCCAAGTAGGCAAAAATTTTAATTGGGGGGTTAATTGTTAATTGTTAGTCACCACTATGCTTTGCATTAAAGACTCCTGCATTGTTTGAGGGAGAGAAGATGTATTTTGTGAGAAGTTAAAGATGGTATAGAACAGGTTTGCTATAAGCCTTTGAGTACCAGTCAAATATGTTTGTCCAAAATCTATTAAGTAAGGCACAGAGCCAAAAGGCGTGAGCAACCGTGTCCTCTACTATCTTGCATCTATCACATATTGGTGAGACAGAAGGAAAGATTTAATGTAGCTTGGTTTTAGTGTAGTGTAGACGATGTATGACCTTAAATTGAATCAGTTAATGTCTGCTGTTGTCTGAACATTCCTTTTACTTTTTTCTTATCAAATGTCCAACCAAGAAAAAACATTTCAATTAAATAAATTCACACTGTTTCACATGTGAGAGTCAAATATGATCTTACCAAAGTGTCTTCAGTTTACAGCGAGGATCCTCCAGTACAGCAGAGAGAAGAGTCACTGAATCTCCTAGTTTATTCCCAGACAGATCCAGTTCTCTCAGGTGTTCAGGGTTTGATCTCAGAGCTGAAGCCAAAGCAGCACAACCTTCATCTGTGAGACCACAATAACTCAACCTGTAGAGAGCAATGACACACTCAGATCAGATAAATGAACCAATTCTACAGGCAGTTATATATATATATATATATATATAAACATTAAATATGCCTAGATTTATATTGGAGATTTATCACACTTGTGAAAATAAAAATATTTAAAAAGATTTCAGAAAACATGCTTCAAAATGTCACACACACACACACGTTTGTTTTTGTGAAAAGTGGGGTCATTACATAGGTTTCCATTCATTTTATACTGTCCATACCATATATTGTATTGCCCTTACCCCACTCTACCCTTAAACCCAATCATCACAGGAGACTGTGTGCAGCTTTACTCTCTGAATAAACTCATCCTGTGGGATTTATAAGCTTTTTAAGAAATGAGGACGTCACCAATGTCCTCAAATTTCACCTCCTTTTTGTAATACCTGTGTCATACCCATGTCATTATACAGATTTGTGTCATGACATGTCACAGAAACACACACACACACACACACACACACACACACACACACACACACACACACACACACACTGCATATGTGCCTCCCACTTGTTAAGGGTACTGATTCTTAACCATAAGTAATTGGACAGAATAACAATGTAAGAATTGAGATATTACAAATACTTTGATGTCTTTGGCAATTCAAACATGAGCTGAAAAAAAGAGACAATTGACTCCACAACCCAGCAGGTGGGAATGCGGGAAAAGCCAGCTCCCCCTACATTTACATCTGAATCCGCTGAAACTCGACTTCAACCACCCAACTCACACTATGCTGAATGTTCTAAATTAACCAAAGTGACTTTAACTATCATGTTTGATATCATTTGAAATGTCTCAGTGTGACTGGTACAATGGTCTCATTCTCTCAGAAATAGACATAATCAAAACAATAAATATATAACTTCAGGCATCTTTTGAACCGCTGTGAAGGGTGTGACTTTTCCACATGCAGCACTAAATGCAAATGCCTTTTGTTATGCACACACCCCTTTCCTTGAGAGGATTCTCGGATTACTTAAGGTAAGGTTTAAGAAATGTTCTTACCCAGATCAGCCCGTAACATGGAGGTTATGCTCTATGTTACATACTTTTTGAAGTCAGGAATGCATCTTTTCATCTTGGATTTGTCTTTGATAATTTGATGTTTTATATTGATCGTTTATGAATTGACTGATTGAATTGGCATAATACACATTTACCTGACTAATAAATTGTTAGCCTATGTTTGAACATATTTTGCTCATTCTGTAATTATTAGTTCTAGTAGATTACGCTGTATCCTTGTTTCCGCACGTCTTGCGTCAGGTCAGTAGACGGACTAAAATCCAGTTGAGATGGAGCATTGGGCACACTTATTGTGTTTTAGGGATCTGACTGACTCTTGATATTGATTCAAGTGTACTTAGGTGGAAAGGGCGTTAACTTCCATCTAGGTCAACAAAGAGTTGCATGACTAACCTAGATTGGGTACCTGACTTTTGTTTGAAAATTATATTATTCTAAAGTCCAGTTCAGAGTCCAGTAGTCGGGTACATTTATATTAATGCCCTAACCACCAATTAGAAATGATATTGTCTTAACTCAAGGGTGTACATCTATGCGGGACTAACTAAAAGTACTTTAGAAGGAGCGCGCTGGTAGCGGCCATCTACAGTATTAGTCAATTACCTCTGTTTAATATTCAAGACTGACCGGAGTGTGACCGTGAGGGACGCCTTCGGCCAGGGCGATTTCTCTGAGCAACATGAGCACCCAAATGAACGGATGTGAGAGTTACTAGTGAAGACAAAAGGTTCAAACATTTATCTAAATTATATATTGATATAATCTTCTTAATGTTTTATGATTGGAGTCAGATAAAACTAAAGATAAATATATTAATATTCTAAACCACCTCATACTAAAATTGGAGTCAAATACGAGTTAAATTTAAGGTAAATCAACATTGTGCACTGGAAAGACCGAACAGGCATTGAACCTTCATCCACCAGTGGACACCGGCATTGGGCCAACTGGATGGACCTTACAACAATTATAAATCAAACTTTCACTTTTCAATTCTTGGTTTGCAGTCAATTACAGCCGGAAGTCTGAAAACCCAGAGACATCACCAGACGCTGGGATTTATGCCTGGTGGTGCTCTGCCAGGCCTCTACAGCAACTGTCTTCAGTTCCTGCTCGTTTTTGGGGCATTTTACCTTCACTTTTGTCTTCAGCAAAAGTTAAATGCATGCTCATTCGGATTAAGCTCAGGTGATTGACTTGGCCATTGCATAACATTCCACTTCTTTCCCTTCAAAAACTTTTGGTTGTTTTTGCAGTTTGCTTTGGGCCATTCTCCATTTGCACTGTGAAGCGCCGTCCAATGAGTTTATGGCATAATATGAGCAGGAAATACTGCCTGAAATACTTCAGAATTCATCCTGCTGCTTTTGTCAGCAGTCACATCATCAATAAATACAAGAGAACCAGTTTCATTGACAGTCATACACACCACTGCCATGTCACTGCCACCACCATGCTTCACTGCTTAGGATCATGAGCAGTTCCTTTCCTTCTCCATACACTTCTCTTCCCATCACTCACATGCATGTTGATCTTGGTCTTATCTGTCCATAAGATGTTGCTCCAGAACTGTGAAGGCTTTTTTAGAAATCTAATCTGGCATTCCTGTTTTTGAGGCTCACCAATGGTTTATATCTTTTGGTGTTTATATCTTGTTTACAACTCTATTTATTCACTCTGGTGTAGTCTTCTCTTTATTGTTGACTTTGAAACACATTCACCTACCTTCTGGAGAGTGTTCTTGATCTGGCCAACTGTTGTGAAGGGTGTTTTCTTCACCAGGAGAAGAATTCCCTGGTCATGTTGCTGGGTTCGCTGGTGTGTTCCTTCTTTTTAAGAATGTTCCACACATTTTTTTTTCCTTGCCTGATGTTATTGCCACCTCTCTAATGGGTTTGTTTAGTTTTTTCAGCCTAATTATGGCTTGCATGACTGATAGTGACAGCTCTTTGGATCTTATCTTGAGAGTTGACAGTAATAAATTCCAAATGCCAATAGCAAACTTAAAATTAACTCTGGATCTTTTTTCTGCTCATTGTAATTGGGTTAATGAGGGAATAACACACACCTGGACATGGAACCGCTTAGAAGCCAATTGTCCAATTACTTTTGGTCCCTTAACAAGCAGGAGGTACATATGGAAAGAGGGGGTGGGTGTCGCGGATGAATGTGAGGACCTGGGGGTTCACTCACTATTCTGCTGCCCAAGGCGGCCACCTAGGTCACCTCTACGGACGCGCCAGCCCTGAACACACGTCGGCCACAAAAGGAAATAAAAAATTTCCACAACACTCCTCTGCCATTTAATGACCACCACCAATTATTAGCCCCCAATGATGTTTAACAGAGCAAGGAAAATGTCTGATAATGTTTTTTCTTCTGGAGAAAGTCTTATTTGTTTTATTTCGGCAAGAATAAATGCAGTTTTAAATTTTTTAAAAAACATTTTAAAGACAAAATTATTAGCCCCTTTAAGCATTTTTTTTTTGTCGATAGTCTACAGAACAAACCACCGTTATACAAATCGTTATATAAACTTGCCTAATTACCCTAACCGGTCTAGTTAACCTATTTAACCTAGTTAAACCTTTAAATGTCATTTTAAGCTGTATAGAAGTGTCTTGAAAAATATCTAGTAAAATTTTATTTACTGTCATCATAGCAAAGATCAAACAAATCAGGTATTAGAAATTACTTATTAAAACTATTAGAAATGTGTTGAAAAAAATCTTCTCTCTGTTAAACAGAAATTGGGGAAAAAAATAAACAGTGGGCTAATAATTCAGGGGGGCTAATAATTCTGACTTCAACTGTATATGCGCAAGTTTTATACATGTTTTAAACATAGTACAGGTTTATATGCGAGTAATATAGGTGTATATGCATGTGTTGAAAAGCAAAGTTTGAAAGTTTGGATAACAAGAATTTAAATCCTACACAGCACCTCATAGCCACCTGTGTTTGCTTTATTGCCTTTTCTTCTGACATCGCTGGTTTGGTAAGGCGACAGGTTGGCTTAAACTTTTATGATCCCTCATCTTCTGACTCTCAGGATGTTCTATCGGGTAGAACAGATTTGATGTGTTCCCGCTGCTAGTTGGCACCACTGCCCCGCCCATTTTGCAGAGCATCAAAACTATAAGTTTATTGAAACTTAAAAAGCCAAACAACTTCCACACAACTGCATTAGTCTTTCCTCTCTCATCAACAAATTCGACTTACTCATTTTGCAGCTAAAACTTTCTGCGACAGAGCTTATTTGTGCTGGCAGTGCTTCTGTGATGTACGTCATCACGCAAGTGACATCCTGCTCTTTCTGACGGCTGAGCACTGAAAGTCATTCAGTGACAAAGGATACAAGGTATAAGATCTTATATATAATTAAATATACATATGCATATTGTAGCGTACAGTCCACAGATAAAATTACTTATTGATTTTATCATGGCTTTGGTCGACAGAACGGTTTTACGACTCCTGGCTCCACAAAGTCTGGGTACCCCCGCTAGACTTATCTCTTCAGTGTCCCTGGATTACTGAGTCTGTCGCTTCAAAGACATTCCTGCCCAAATACACACACACACACAAGGCTGTTCCGACAGAAAGAAAATGAACTCATCAAATCCTGAACCAGCACAAAACCAATGTGTTATGTTTTGTAAACTTTGTATCTCATTTCTGACTTTTCTCACCTGTGTAACCTCTCTTATAACCTGTATGCATGTTCCCTTTAGGCCTTTGTAAAGCATAAATATTGTAAGGATATGAAAAATTATGTTGATGTACCTTTAAACCCCCCCATGTTTGGTACCGATGGGTTTCTGCTGACATTTTACAACACATGATGCATAGAGCAAGACCATAACTCGCATTGCTTTATTCTTTAAAGCCCTGCATTAAATGCCTGTCCGCATGCTTTAGGCGGACACTCAAATTT